TCTGATGACGTGCGTGCTGCTAGATGACTGGTAGCTTGAAAATGCCTCATCTGCTGTCCTTTGGAGATGTGTTCAACTATTTCCCTGGTTTATATAACCTCAAAGCAATTTGCTTTCACGGCAGAACACGCTTATTCATTCTATTTTAACTGTGCATTGAGCTATAAATAATGCCTCCTTGCAGATAAAAATCTATTGGATTTTTTTTTTTTTTTTTACCTTTGAAAGATTTTTCTCCTGACCCCAGCTCCTGAAGGAGACTTTCCCAGCTTTAGCAGTGAAGTTGCCAGATTGACTTTCTCCTGCCAGGCAGCCATGAATGGTGTCAATCCCAGGTCGGCTGCTACTCCCCCGCAGCCACCTCCTTGTTGGTCCTGCTTGGGCTGCAGCAAAGATGAAATAAGCACTCAGTGATGCACAGCTGAGATCTCTGAAGTGTCAGGAAACCTGATTAAACCAATGATTTCCTCTTCCTCTAACCAGCTGCGGGATAACATCTCCTGCATTACCTCCAAACCACCTTCCCTGCAGTATGTTCACTTCAAAGAGCAGTAGCCTGGGCCTTTGTGCAGCCAAATGTTCTGCTGTTTAGTGCCTCCTTTTTCTGCTGCTGTTTCTAGCATTTTCCTGCTTTCATGTGAGTAACTCTTGCTCTGTGCGATGGAGCCCTGACGTGATGTCCTCATCATCCAGAAACTGCCCAGAGCTGGAGCAGAGCACGAGCTGGTGAGGCGAGCAGTGACGGTATGTCCTCAGAGCTGATGCTGCTGAGACCCGCGTCGGGGCCAGGCTGCAGCACAGCAGTGAAGTGGCCGCTGTTTTGGCAGCTGATTTTCTGTGGTGCAGATAACTTTGCTGTCAGTGCGAATGCTGATGCTCTTCTGGGTAAGTGTTGTGATGGCAGAGGGCCTGGGCTGTTGCAGAAGTGGAAAGACTTTGAAATCGTTGAGAGCTAATAATGTTCTCAAATTTGAATAATTTAGGGTTTTTTTTAACAATGATTACAATCTGCTCTTTTGTTGTACGTGTTACTGGTCATCCCCTGTAAAAATGTGCTGGGAGCTCTTTGTACGACTTACCTGTGGCCCTTTAGCAAAGGTTGTAGGAAAACGCTGAGGCTGCTCTCCTGAGTCATGGAGAAGTATTATGTTCCTTCATTAATAAAAACTATCCATAGGAGAGAGCATTATGTAAGTACCATATACATAATTCAGGTTGGAAGAGCTCTCTAGAGGTCTCTAGCCCAACCCCTGCTCAAAGCAAGGCCAAAGTCAAAGTCAGCTCAGGGTGCTCAAGGCCTTCCTTGTTCAGCTGGGTTTTCAGTATCACCAAGGACGGACATGCATGACCTCTCTGGTTCCTGTGCCACTGCTTGATCACCCTCATGGCGAAGAATAATTCCTCATATTCGGTCAGAATTTAATCCTTTTGCTGTGCAGCTCTGGGAAGACTCTGACTCTGTCTTCTCTGTAACCCCATCAGGGAGCTGCAGATAGCAATGTGATCCCCCGTAGCCATCTCTTCTCCAGGCTGAAGAAGCCCAGCTCCCTCAGCTTACCCTGAATGCTCTGTGCTCCAGCCCCTGACCAGCCTGGTGGCCTCTGCTGGACGCATTCCCATGTGTCAACATCTGTCCTTGTAGTGGGGCCAAGCACATTTACTTCATTGCATAAGTAATGTGAAACCACGTTAGCCTTCACCTGCAGGGTACAAAGTTCTGCACGTGGTCTTATTAGTTCAGGAAAACATTCACTGGCATTACCTGAATCAAGCTCTATTTACTAAATTCATAAGCACATGGATATGTTTCTATATCGATATATTTTAATCACATCAGTGACTTTGTTTTCTTTATTGCTTAGTTCAAACAATGCCTTCGGGCACCAGGCGAGAGGCAGATCTTCCATTTGTTCTGTATCGGTTTCTCCAGGTGCGTGGCTCAGTACAAATATTTATTGGCCACACTGCAGCCAAAAGAAAGACAAAGACAGAAACTGCAGTCTGAATTGTATTTAGCAGGCATTTTGGAGTGATTAGAGGCAATTTCATGAAACAGCTATAACTAATTATTGTTATTTCCCACTTTTACAACAGCTATTTGTTAATTAAATAATGTGACAAAACCTAGGGATGTTTGGAAGAGTGTATTAAATAATTTGTCATTCATTTATCAGTGTATTACTTACACTGAGAAGTCGCATATCCGCTAAGAAAATTTCCCAATATCAGTTTTGATTCTTCCAGAGAATATGAAATCGATACTGGCAAAAACTGTAATGGGAAATGTAAAAGAAGAAATTCCTTGGGTAAGTGAGAGAAGATGTTGTATAATGGCCAAATCATGCCCTGGTGTCAGCCTGCAGACCCTCTGGTGCTCAGGACCATAACATGTGGTACCCCAAGATGTGGCACTGCCTTTGCTTACTTGCAGATCTCTGCCCTCATGCTGGCTTCTGCACACAGGAGGATTTTCCTTTAGCCAAATGGTCATTAGCCATATGCTGCATCTGACTTTGAGGATTAGAAGACCGTAGCGAAGTGGATTACAGCACGAGATCAGTGGCAGGATTGCAGACCAAATCCTCTTTCTAACTGTTCTTCCAGGAGTAGTTAAGAACTGAGCAACTTGTCCTACAGCACGAGCTTAGCCAGCTGTGGGGTTTTTCCACGCTGTTATCAGAGGCAGGATGATCTGGAGCTGTAAGCCCGGGTGGGGAGGCTGTGGACGTTGGCTGGCTGGAGGCTGGGCATGAGTCTGAAACCTGTTGATTTCTGGGTGTCATTTTTGTGGCTTGCCTGGAGGGGGTACCTGAGCAGCTCAGGGGAGACGGGTGTTCCCCAGCCAGCCATTAATTGTCACAGGCTTGAGTCTCCCTAGAGGGTCTGTAGGTAAGAGAGTGAAGGAATGGATCTGCTGAACATCAGATGGGCGTTGTGGTGGTTGGAGGAAATCTGGGTTGCTCGGGGCCAGTAAGTGCCAGACCTAGTGCTAAACTGCAGTTGCAGTGGAAAAATTTTCTGTGGTGTATATGGGCAACACATGCCAGCCTTTGGCAGGAAGGTGCTCTCCACCCATCAGGAGAGAGGTGGGTCCTGCCTGGAGGACAGCACCGTCCGGGGCAGGGAGCAGCCCGGAGCAGCAGCATGTGGGCACCAGGCAGGAGGCAACCTGTCAAAAGCTGCCAGGTTGGGGCTGGGAAGGCTGGTGAGGGTGATTCACAGAGGTCTTGCTGCTGGCTGGAGAAGGCAGTGACAAAGTTCAGATTTGACCCAGAAAGATGTACCTCCCTCCAACTGTGCAGAGACTGTATGTGTGAACTGATGAAGGCAACAAGCGTGGCCTGTGACAGCAGCCTCAGCGTGCTCCTGTACATGCTCATGGAAAAGTATCTGGCTTCCAGAGATGCCATCCACAAGGCACATTAGGGCAATGCATCTTGAGGATGTGCCAAATCTGTCTAAAATATTCATGCATGCTCCCTGTAACTTATGGAAACAAACCCAGCAGCATAATTACTTTAATGCTTCTCCCTGTGAAGAAACTAATATCTTTTAGGTAAAAACGTGAGCTGTACATCCACACAGCCATGCTGTGGCCTTCATAACATGCCAGTGCCCACGATGCACGATACAATTTACACATTTAAGGATCAAAGTATACCCTTTAGACCACTGTGATGTATCAAACACCAACACAATTGCTTGGGCTAACTTTCAGTGATTTCAGCTGAATTTCATTTGATTAATGGGTGGTGCCTTGTTTGTTTGAGGGAGCACCTGTAAAGCATCATTTGCTCTGCAGCTCCCATGGTGCTGAGGTCTATCCTAAGCACAATGCTTAGCTCCCACGACCAAAAAACCCCAGGTATATTTGCCATTTCGGACCTGTGAAAGGGATCACAGTGAGGAACTGAGGTTAAAGACAGAACCCGTTCATACAAAATTAGACCTACTGAAAGAGAAGAGGTCCAGACCTCCTCCTAGGAAGGAAAAATTTGGAGATGGCACGAAGGCTGGAGGTGCGAGACAGACAGGAAAACTGGGACAGGCTCTGTGTTTTAAGTATCGTTTTCTAAAATATCTGTAGGGGGAAAGGACCTACTGTACTTCCAAGCATAGTTGGTGCTATGTAAATAGGTTCCCAAACCTTCAGTGTCCTTTGTTCTTAAGATGGCTTGGCGGAACACTTTGAATCAGTCTGTGTGTTTAACTGTGACTAGGTCTGTAAATAACTGCTCCCTCCTGATATGGTCCAAGTGACATTTTTAGTGGCACTTGTCAGAATTTAACCTGCTTTCAAGTCTTCCTTCTACTGAGCTCTTCTATACGCAGGCAGTGAAACTGTCAAGAAGCTGTATCTTTTATCAAACCAGTGCTAAATACCATTAGCTTCACAGGTTAGACACAGTCCTGCCAGACTCCCCTGACAAAGCTTAACCAGTTCTGCTGATGGCAAAGCCAGACCTGACCCGTGTTCATACCTAGTGGTGAATACCTGGGAATGCAGAAAAAACCCCACCCAAAACCAGAAAGGGAAGCAGAGAGCCTTAGCCTGATCTGCAAACAGGGCAGTCCTGCATGCTCTGCCTAAGCTGCTCCCTGATGGGAGATGTTGCTCTGCAGAGAGGAATGAAGGACCTGCTGTTTGGTCCCCTCAATATTTTGTGCTCCTTACATTTCTACTAGAATCCTAAAGAGGTTTCTTTTGTCCCAAAGGCTGTTTGTTTGGTTTTGACCACTGAGAACATGTGATACTTGTCTCAAGCTATTAACCAGATGTCCAGCCAAAATCAATTGCCTAGCAGATACAGACCATTACCTGAAAGTCAAGACCTCAATAAATATTCCCAGCCTCATTGTACTGGTGACAGATTCTGCTGGTTGTTTTATGTCACAGTTGAACAGTTTAGACATTGCATTTGTATATATTTGCAGTCAGCCTTGGAGAGGCCATCTCGGGAGCAGAGCAGGAGCAGGCAGCCTGCAGACTCAAGAAATACTTCCACCATGACCACGGCCGGTGTTTTTGTGCTCCTCTCCATTGCGCTTTGCTGCTTCCCAGGTGAGTGACTCTCAAGGGGCCGCAGAGGCTTCGTGTCTGAGTCCTGGCTGTCTTTAAAGGGATAAGATAGTGGCTTCAAAGAGAGAAAATCTTCTTCTACAAAGAGCTAGGCTGCCTCGGTATGTTGGCGTCGCATAGGATGCAGGAGGAGATTTCAGAACAGTCTTGAATGGATGCTGTTGTAGCTGGTTGTCTGTCATAAATATAAACAAGTGGAGTCCTGTGCTGGTAACTAGTGCTGTTACACTTTTTACACTGTTGTTTTAACACTGTTACACTGCTTACACTTGTTGTACAATTACAGCAAATGGATAAATATCTGAAAGAGGGCCACAACGAGGTGGTCAGGCCTCCGGTAACTAGTCACGAAAGCATTGTAATGGCACAAGCAAGTTCTTTGCAGGAGCCTGGCAACTTTCCTGCAACGCTTTTGTTGCTAATGGGGAAACAAGAGATGAAAACAAGCCGGAGACTGATGTTGTCACTGCATATTTGCATCTGATGAAATGACAAAGTCAAAGAGAATTTATTTTTTCACCCTCAGCTTCTTTAAAATGTATGTTCCTGACAACAGATGCTGTATGTATTTGCTTATCCTGTAGGTGACTATTTGCATTTGCACGTATCTGTATTGACTCAGGTTTCTTTTCAGATAGGTAACAGCAGTTCTTTAGGGTGAAAAATGGATATGTAAAAAGATAAGGAAGGAAAAGCTATTCTACTTTCAATTAATAAGTCTACCTATCTCAAAATAAAAAGAACAAAGCCATTCAAAAACATGTTTCACCACACCCAGCAATAAGCAACACTATTATCGACATAGAAAATATTTTTTTCTATGGGAAAAAAACTGGAAATCATTCAGTTTGGTCCTGCGTATAGGAATTTTACATCCAGATTTCCAGCTTTAACTGAGGTCTTGTCATATTGGCTTTGTTTCACACTTTCTGCCTCTCTTGTTTTCCAGATGCTGCCTTTGGGGTTGAGGTGAGTGGAAGATTTCTTTCTGTCACTTTTCTCAAGTGTGTGGCCTGGTAAAGACATAACCAAAGGAACGGGAAAAAGCTCAGGCCTGCAGATGCTTAGCTGTTTTTCACTTATTGTGAAATTCGTGTTATTGTAATCAGATTCCACAGTGTGAAACATTAAATTATACTTTTTTTAGCTCTACATCTATGCTCTATGTTAATAATGTAGTAGTAGTAATGATACAAAATTTTTGGATGAATTAATTTTTCAGCAGCTTTAAACTGGTCTAAGCTTTAAGCTGGTCATATACGACTGGCTCTAAACTGATAGCAATAGACTGTAGTATCAGAACCTACCCAAAGGCAACGTACTGAAAGAGTAAAATACTATGAGAAACTCCAGCTTACACACACACCTCATCACTAGTCTTGCTCCTCTGAAAAAAACACGATCAGTGTGTTGAGAATGAAAGAGTAATAACAGAAATGCACTGGAGGGGCCACAAGAATATAAGAATGAGGGACCAGTGGATAGCCTTTGCAAAATGATGCCAAGCGAGAGACCACCACGGATTTACCCCATCTGGGGGCTGCATGGCTGTAGCCCTCTCCTCCTCCTCCTCCTCCTCCTCTCCTGCTGTGTGTGGAGGTCTCTGCAGGCAGGATTCACCAGTTACCAGATTGACACACCAGCACAAGTTTGTGCTGTGGCTGTGAAAAACGCACTGCAGGTTGTGTCTGGTCACTGTCTCCTGCAAAATGAGAGCTGTGAATGTAAAATATCTTCCCCACCCTGTTGCCGTACGTTCCTTTGGCAGGTGGACTGCAGTGCGTATTCCAACACCACAAGTGAGGAAGGCAAAGAGGTGTTGTCCTGCACCAAGATCCTCAGCCCCATCTGCGGTACTGATGGAGTCACCTACAGCAACGAGTGCCTGCTCTGTGCCTACAACATGTACGTACTGCAGAGGAGATCTCGGGCAGCAATGCTTAGGACTCCTGGAAGCACCACTTTTCAACAAACAGTGATCTGTAATGTGTCACTCGTGTCAATTCCTTCAAAATGAGCTTGGGTATCACTGTGCGGCACTCTGTTGCCTAGACATCGCTTTAGTCGCCGTGTCTCTCTTTTGCTGCTGTAATTTATTCAGGTTTTTCTTTTCCAGCTCAAGGATCAACCAGATGACAACCCCTAGGGCATGTCTCATCACAAGAAAGCAGAGCAAAAGGATGGAGAGATGCTCTGCTCTGAACTGCCCAAAATGGTTCTAAAGATCTCAGGGTCTTCACATCCCTGCCAGCCACTCAGTGCTAGCTGGACAGGGAGGATGGCACTACCTTCTCAAAAAATAGAAGCCTGAGTGATAAAGAGTCAGCTTTCCCTTGCATTAGTTACATATTTTCAGCACCTAGGATGTAGCAAGATGTCTTTGCTAAACTTCCTAACATTTGTTTTTCCCTTTCCAGAGAATATGGAACCAATATCAGCAAAGACCATGATGGAGAATGCAAGGAAGTTGTCTCCGTAAGTGAAACTAAGGGCAAAACAAGGGGCTTGTCCTGCTTCTGAGTGGCCAAAGCTGCTTATTGACTCCCCCAAGAAACAATTCAAACACTAAATAAGAGGACATATGAGATGTCAGAATCTTGCATTGGTCATCAAGTGAACTGTTATCATAGTGACACACAAAAAAGCATTTTTCCTGCTGTGGTGGTATCCTAGGTGGCCAAACACACACACTCGCCAGATCTACTTGCTTCCTTTAAGCAAGACTTCACCAGCGCTTTGTTTTGTGTTCCCTCAACAGGTGGACTGCAGTAGATATCCCAACACGACAAACGAGGAAGGCAAAGCGGTGTTGCTCTGCAACAAAGACCTCAGCCCCGTCTGTGGTACCGATGGGGTCACCTACGACAACGAGTGCTTGCTATGTGCCCATAACCTGTGAGTACTGCGTCTGCAGAGCTCTCCTGTGAGGGACAACGAGTGCTTAGCACTCCTGGCAGCTGCTTTTCTGAATATCAGGACTCCTACTAAGGCTTTTTCTGTAAGGCGCTTAGACTTCGACCTTCCTCTTTC